CGTCATAACTGAAGATTGTTGCGTCATTCGACAATTTGTGGTTCCGCTGCTGTTGCGGCTTGCCGTCCTTATAGGTAAACACTCAAATTTGGTAATATATAGAATATTATAGCTCTCGCGCGGGAAATACCGGAATTTAGACACTCGTTTCGTAAACACAGTATAACATGAACACTCATATAATATCCTCTTTATATGTTTCCAAAGATGCAACTCTTGACAAGGAAATCAGAACCAAGGCAGGTCGCCCTCTAGTCGCTCTATTGGAGGTACAGACAGCCTTTTCGAAACTTCTAGAATGATTAAACCTGCCATGTCCGTGTACACAACAAGGGCTGATAACTCTAGTTTTAGTACAAAACCTGGAAATCTCCATGCGCTGTTATAGACTGCTGTTCAAATCTGGCCACATCACTTGATATATATAACTGGTAGTTGAAAAAATACTTTAAGGGAAAGTAAAGTCAACAAAGCAACTTTAATACTTTAGTCGATACCTTATCACAAAAATAAATCTAAATAGGAAAATACCGCAAAACGGGGAAAAAACCAAATCACCTCGAGGGTGGATTCCAAATATGTACAAATTCATTCAAATACTGCAAATCAAAACCTAGACAACTTATTGCCAACCAGAAACCAGTGAACTATCATCACAATGCTGTTTCACGTTAGTTGGACTGTGCAATATATACATGGCAATGTTAAATGTGAAATTGGACAAATTAGACAATATTCTATTTATCAATTGTTTATTTTACATTTTTAAGTAAACGAATGCTGGATGTACGGGTGAATATTGCTTGAACAAACATATGGGACTTATCCCTTGCCCAGCTCCTGAACAAGTAGGTAGTCGACGTTTATGGTACCCAAACAGGGTGTTAGTCGTAAAAAGCTAGTTACAGACATAAATTGTTATTTGAATTATTCACAATGACAAGATCAAAGGGCGTTTCACACACTCAGCTCTGTATGCATTGCTATTTTTGTAGGAATCAAAGAAATAGAAACACGTTTAAATTGACCGCTTCCTGGCGTATCCGTTTCGCTGCTAAGCATCACAAGTCAGCCAACATGTTACCCTTCAACAACACATAACATTGATAAAAAATACCCAAAAAAATCAACTCGATCTACAAACCAGTGAGTGTATCCTGCATCACCGATGGCACTCATAAAAAACACACGCAAAGGCAAGTCAATTGTTCACATGATACAACACGGGAACATACGGTACAAGTCAATATAGGGAGCGGCATAGGACATCATTCTAGTCACTGATGCGTCACATTTGGAAATGTCCTCCACATGTCCACCATAAAAAAATTAACGCTTTACTGAGGCCTTGAATGTTGTCACCTTGGTCAAAAAACTTCTGAGCAAGAGTCTTATGACGCTCTCCTTTTAGAAAGCATGCTCGATTGTATCTCAAAAGTTGTGAAATGTAGAGACCAATAGCTGGAACTGCAGGAATATTGCTCGACCTAAATATGGACTGTTTAAGATTGTGCGTCATAATTTGGGAACAATCCAATCCTGATGTGATTGATATATTGACCTTGTGATGTGTTAATCATCTTAATGATGTTCACTTATTAGCCAGGGAGCCAGCGTTCGCTCGTCGCGCCGAAGAAACCCAGGTTCGCTTGGGTGCGGTGTGTGAGGCCCGTTTCTGGTTCCCCGTCGTGATGTTGCTGGAATGTTGCTGGGGGCGGCGTGAAACCAGGCTCACTCAATCACTTATTATTATGCATTGACATTGTTTGAACATGGTTCGTATGGTCTATCATATTTCAAGATAAGAAATTGATGTAAGAACTGGTTTGAGCCCTCTAAATGTTTGAAAGTATTTCCTTTATGCCTTCTAGTATTGTTGTGTTGTAAAATTGGTTTTGATATAAATTAGTCTGAATGCCTAATTTCTGAGGGGAGTGTAGCAGAAGTTTTTACGAGTGTTTCGATAACCCTAGAGTTAACTCCCTTTTGGAACTCTTCTGAAAATAAGCTTCCTTGAGTGTAACGAACGAACGAACGCCATGTTGGGCAGAACCAAACTTGGCAAGAAAACGAAATTAACGTAATTAACGAAATGTCTTGTGCTACAATGAAGCCATATGGTGTTTTTACGAAGCTATGAGTCTGTGAATCTATGAAGAGAATTTTAATTCAGGCAATGAAACTTAAAAGTTACGATATTCTCATATGCTTCTGTATTGCATAAACACCTCAAAATAAAGGTTTAAACTTTGACCACGTGTTTTCAATGGAAGTAACGCCGGAGAGCCATGGAAGCAAAAAAGGAAATCAAAGAACAGAATAGGGACAGCTGACTGTTGGAAGGTTGAAGTCATCCCTCTTACCATACAGTCTTATGTAGAGTGTTTTGTCACCATGAATCTTTATGCATAGATCTAAATGAAACAGATCAGGCGGTCCCACGGGTCTCCTCTGTCTCTAGTTCAGATGAAATCAAGGGAATTGACTATTTGATGGAATTGAAATATATGAGATCATCATTATATCTGGAGCCTGAGTTAAACTTCTTGGCCTAATTACCTCCTTCTGACTTTTCCAATCCGAGCAGAAATTCTGATAAAGAAACAGGTCAACAAGAAGGGGACACAATTGATGCCTCCTTCTTGCCTCAATGTCTTTGCCCAAAATATTACATAGATGTAATCTATGACGAAGTCAAGCATTTCACATATTGTTTTCTCAGTAAACTTCAGATGGCATTGGCTTTCATTTTTGATAAATTGACCGGGATCTCTGAAGATATATCTGTGGTCACCACGTTTTGTAACAAAATCCCCTTAGATCAAGGAATAAAGCTTTCCCTTCGGGATGGTGTCGCTTGTCGCATGAGATGGTGGTGAACACAATTGTAAAATCAAATGTTTTCACAGAATTAAACCTGGTTCGGCATTTAAGGCTATTACATGGATGGCATAATTTCTCTAATATCCTATCTTTCAGGGGACGGATGGTGTGATTTTCAGAATTGAAATGTTGGTGTCAGATGTATGCTGCTGAAACAAATGTTTGCGAAGAGTTATCTCTGATCGTTGCTCATAATATCAATCATTAGTTCATCTGGTCCAGAGTCGGTTATTTACAGAAGGTCATCATACAGCTGGAACTTTGTATAATACCTGTGAGGATTCAGGATGATGATATAACGCCCCTTACACTTGTCATGAGGGATCGGTTATGTAACTATATTTTTTTGGTTCAATATGAAATTACTATGACGATAGGTCAACACTCCCAATGATATATTCCATCTCGTATCCTTTATAATACACGATGGGGTAAGAACATAGGTCCCCGGGAAGTTCCGCAGGCTGCCTTGAAATGCAAACAAGGAAAACCATGATGCGAGGCATCAAAGAATGCATCATATGTTCACACTGTTAAGGCCCCGAGGCTACGGCACAATTTGAAATGAACTCCCCATTATAATTCAGCAAACTGTCTTGTAGAAATGCTGGAATTGAAGGAAGCGTCTAAAAAAACTTGATATCTCTCTCAAATAAACTCCATGTATACATGCTTGCCGTAAAAGGCGACTATGCTTGTCGTAAAAGGCGACTAACGGGATCGGGTGGTCAGGCTCGCTGACTTGGTTGATGCATGTCATCGATCCCAATTACGTGGATCGATGCTCAAGATAGTAAACACTGGTTTGTCTGGTCCAGACTCGATTATTTACAGACCGTCGTCATATAGCTGGAATATTGCTGACTACGGCGTTTACAACAAACCAACCACCCAACCAACCATGTATACAACACATTTCACGTTAAAGCAAAAAATAAAAACAACACTTTGAACAAAATATGACTGCATTTATTTCCAGTTCAAGTATCAATATGACACATAGTCCAAACGTATCACCGCTCACAATTCCAGCCACTTCACACGGCTATAAGATCCTATCTATAGTCAAGTCATGTCTTTCTTTCGTATGAGGCCACTGGCCCAGATACATAATATTTACATAAATGTATAATTTATACAAATCTTGAACACATCATGGTAAACCTGCGTAACTATCTGTCTCTTAGCATAGCACAAATTTACTTAGTTTCTTTTGCAATATTTCACAATTTCCAGAAAGCATCATTTTCATCATTAAACAACTTATTCAGGGCTGAGTATTGATATACATGTTCGGTAAGAAATATTCTGTTTAAATTCTAAGTTTAAATACAAGACATATGCGTAGTGATAACTATTCCCAACCATCGACCTTCATTTACCTGAATTTTGTTTGTTTGTTTGTTGTTTACGCCGCCGCACCGCAATATTCCAGCTACTTGACGGCGGTCTGTCAATAATCTAGTCAGGACGAGACAATCCAGTGATTGACATCCTGAGCATTGATGTACTCAATTGGGATTTGATGATATGAATCAACCAAGTCTGCGAGCCTGACCACCTGATACCGTACGACAAGCATAGTTGCCTTTTAGGGCAAGCATCGGTTGCTAAAGACCTAATCTAACCCGGTTTTTCACGGGGATACCTTAAATTTCTCTCTTAGTCTAATAGGGGCGGTCGGGTAGCCTAGTCGTTAAAGCGTTCGCTCGTCACGGCGAAGACCCGGGTTCGAATCCCGACATTGGTACAATGTGTGAAGCCCATTTCTGGTGTCCCCCGCCATGATATCGCTGGACTATTGCTAAAAGCGGCGTAAGACCAAACTCACTCACTCACTCTTAGTCTAATAATCATGTCACGTTGGTTAGTGTTTGACATCACGAGTACATATTTTTCGGGATCTAATAAACTTTAAAACTTTCTGTACAGTATGTATATGATCACTCAAAAAATACATAGAGAAGTTTCATTGTTTTACATGATGTAGTAATAAATGACCAAATTATCATTTTTCACCATAATGATAGTCTTCGAATTATGTTTTGTCGAAGTCTCTTATACTTGGAGGGCCTTGTGTAACTTCTTGCTCTGTTTGGGGGAACAATACTGCCTACCTCAGTTTCCACAACGATGGACAGGTTCTCGAAGGCATCCGCCAGAGAGGAAGAAGTGGGACCCGGATGAGATTCCTGAGAACATTCAGGAAGCGTACACATCCCAATGTGTTCTGGATAGACAGTTTTCAGGACGACGGGTATGAATTTGCGGCGGTCTTCACTCCTTATCTCCTGGTGTAGTTGTGTTGCTGCATCAAGCGCTGCCAAGTCAAAAAGTATGATAAAGGCATCGCCGTCTTCGATGATCTTCCGTCGGGTTGTTCCATCTTTGTCCCAAGGATTATATGTGACCATCTTGTAGTCCACTGAGACGCCTATAGTCCCCGTGCTGTAGATGCCTCGACCCTGCAGTGTCTCCTGTATTCTGGCCTGGTACAACACCTGGAACTGTGTCCTCATGTCATCCGTTATCCTTGAGGAGAGTTTGCAAGAGAGCAGGTTAATGACCGTCACTGTGAACGTATCATTCATCTGTGTCGTGTTAGTCGGGTTAGATGCCATAGTCAGTACGATTTTTGGTAGGGATGGATAAAGACTTTTGTCAAATCGCAGTGTTCTACGAAGAATCAGGGAAATGTTCCAGGTAATGCAGTACTGAAGCTGTGTCACCAAATGCGAAGACTACTGAGATATCCAATAACATATATGCCTATCTCACGTTGCTAGGTATAGTTATGGCACGGCCTTAAGACGTGGGATTGACGTGGTGTTGGCAGGGCGATACAAGATGTATTAACAATATCTTGAGATGATTTTACCGTCGACCTATTAGTCATTATGTTTATCTAACATTGCAACATATGCTTATGAAACGGCCATTGGGCGTGGCGTGGGTTGGCGATACAAGATGTATGAACAATAGCTAAAGACCTTCAACAACAAAGCTTCCTTTGATAATAAAAATTTCAAAACTACATTTATGAATACAGTGTAAATAGATGTAACAGCCACAAACATACTCATACCACAATGTAAGCTGAATATTTTTGAGTGTAGTAATAGATATATAATATACAGCACCAAAGAGAATCACTACGCCTTACGTTGAAGTTTGAAAGGAGAAGGCATGTGGGACTTGGTTTTGTCATGAAAAGAGTATTGTCATTTTGGTAAACATAATGGGTCAACTTGTTGTTTTTATTATTCTTCATTCATTTTAACCACTGTTTTAGTCATCATATATAAATATTGCGTGAAATTAGAATAATCACAAGTTGTTGGATGAGAATTTCGAAATGTACGAGTCTAACTGACTGACATATCTAAACAGGAATACAATTGTCAAATATAGCGTCATCTTGAACTGATCTTCCAGAGCCAAATGTAACTGAGTTCCTCTCTGGATGTTAAATAATATTTGCAATATTTATTATTGAAAAAAATGGTTGACATGTCTATGGTTATAAGAAATAAACAACACTGTTTTGTCTTGATACCATCAGTTGACAGATAATGATTCTTGATATTTGAAGGTTCTTTATACAAAATCATTATGTCCCAAAATCAACACGTTAAGATACATATGCATAGATCAAGTAGGTATTCAGAATGTGATGATCAAATGCAGGTGGTCTGAAAATAGTCGTGTCTGGTCTGGACTAGACAGTCCAGTGACTGATAACATGATGCGTGCGTGCGTGCGTGCGTGCGTGCGTGCGTGCGTGCGTGCGTGCGTGTTTGTGTGTTTGTCCTAATCCAGACTAATATCGGTCTCATAGTGCTAGCCAATTGAGATCTCTTTCCTCCAACATGTCCATTGAGTATACATTGCTGGTTGTCACAAATCAGAATATTTTCACGGAAATATTCGCGTTACAATGAGTAAGAGTTAAATAAAACTCACTCAAAGTCAAAGACTAGAGTATCCCGTCACGTGGCATATAAAAGAAACGAATACATATAAGGGCGTGAGCTGAAGCGATATTGCTACTTTTTTAGAATTCACTTTACATATCATTGATTGTCATTAAAACGAGATATTAAACCTTGTTATTCCTAATACCTACGGAGGACCGCCTCCGTGATTTAATGGCAGGGCGTCCGCCCGGAGAGGCCGCGTTATACCAAAAGACGTTAAAAGATGGTACTTGTTACCTTGCCTGGTGCTCGGCATTTAGGGGTTAAAACAAAGACTGGTCTGCTCGGAGTCAATAAACTGTATCTGAGTCGAGTATTCATGTTAAACTGCGACATGGTATCTCAGTGGGCGAGCACTATAAAATTGACATTAGTCCGGACTAGTACAAGCAGCCACACACACACGTACATGCACGTCGCTATATAAGTGAAATATTCGTCGGTGTGACGTAACACCCCATTTCACCTCCCCTCAATACCCTTTACCTCTCAAACACATTTTCTTTATGCATCTTAACATAACATCCATACATGTTTTTTGCTTTTAATATGTCAACACTGACAAAATAGCCATCAAGATACTGAGCTCTTTGGCAATTGAGAATCTGAAAAGGACAATGGGACCTCAAATAAATAAAAGTGACAAAAACCTTTCATTTAGCCCGTGAAATCTCTGCTAAATGCAGAGGCCTTTGTACGATTCCGGCTATATCAAAAGCATGTGTTTATAAATCACGCTCAGAGCTCTCCATTCTATTTCACCTCCTCAACAACATTATTATCATTTACCAAAAATACATGCCTATAATATTCAATAAGGTATCCTTGATACCTAAATCTATATGTTCAACAAAATTTCACAAATACCTCTTGGAAATGTTAGCATTAGTAAGACCTGCTCGTAAAGTGCGATGAAAATCTTTCTGAAATCGTGCGCCTCATATTTCATTTTCTTGGGCATTAGAAATTCCAATTTCTTTAATGAGATTTAGAAAATGGCGCTGTAACACTTTTCACATCAGTTGAAGTAACAAACTGATCCGCAAATCCGAATAAGCCTGTCCCTGTTTGATATTTAGTGCAGGATAAGTGCCAAATTGAATCTGTCTTGGCGGATAAACGAGACCGCTTATTCTCTGGCGTCAGTGTTCTATATTTACATGACGACAACATTATATTTTCACACTGTTAAAGTTGATGTTAACATTAAGAGAGAAATTACAAAATCGACCAAAGTCCTTGAAGCATATGTAAGATATTTAAGGAAAAAATGTTTCCCTCTAATAATTGTAGCAAATTGTCCACAGTGTCACTAAAGTTTCTGGTCCTTCATTTGATTGTCTGGGTGGTTCGGGGGGGGTGGGTGGTTGTAACTCATTGTACACCAAGGGAGATAACTATCCCGAGTTCTCGAGTACCAGTTTACTACTCGAGTAGTGGCTCTACCCGAATCGTACTCGTATGTCCATGTGCCCGTTTCAGCCCTAGTCACACATCATATGTACATTCATGTTTCTGGAATTCTTCATGCCACAAAGAGTAAGGACCTCTTGAAATTACAAATATTATGTTGAAACACACCGCACTCGGAAAATAGTCCGGCTTTATTACAGGGCCTGTAAATTATCGAATCTTGATCATGCAAACCAGTGAGTGATGTTATTAGCAACGTCCCAACTTCGGGGCACGATGGCACGCAAATCAGCCAAGACACAAACCCTGACCACCACATCCATTTATTTGCCTCTTCCGACAATCATATATGTAGGTTGCCATGAACCTATTCTAACCACTCCACCTAACCCTAAGCTGATCCCCACCAACGCAGCTTGACCCTGCAGCTTGATCCCAACCCACACTGCAATACCCTGCAACCCTAATCCAAACTTACGCCCTAACTCGGAATCCTCAAGTGATTTATATAATTAAAATGCTGGAATTCAAGACGACTATCATATATGCTTGATAGCTTCTAAAAATCCATGCATACAACAACATTGTTCCTTTGAACACACCAGCAAAAGAAACAATTCGGCACAATCAGCACACTGGGGACATAGGTGACAGGTTATCTTTAACGCAGCAACGTGAAATGATGCTGGTCGTTGGAACGCCAAAAACAGCCATAGTATGATCACTGGCCTGTCAATACCCGTGCTCGTCAGTGTTAGAACGGAATCTTCTCATGTGTTAAACTGAGGCGCTCGGAAGAAGCACGTTGAGAAACTCTCAAGCCCTTAGGTTAGCGGGCTACTTGAATCTACGCATGTTCATCTCACATATCCACACATGTGCTCGCTCGTTCATTTGGAAGCAATACTGTGTATACTGTGTTTTTGCGAAAATAAATGCTTACGACGAATTGTTTCTGAATAAAACAATACTCCAGTCTATGCTTTTTATCCTGCTCTGTCACCATGATTTTGGCAGAAATTTGGTCGTGAATAACGACAGCCATATGTGTAGAAATCTGCCCACAGAAACAAATATGTACACTGTCATTCTGTTAATGTAAATTTAATGTCAATTAAGAATCGTATAAAAGTATGGATTATGAAGACAGTCATGAAAATGCAAATTAGACAACAAAGAACATTTATTAACACTCTAAAATCAAAACGTTGGTGAATTCGACCGAAGCACTAATATCCTCTGAAGGTTCTTTTGGGAATAAAATCGGATGACAACTCCACCAAACATGACCCATGACATCGTTTGGTATTGGACTTGTGAACAACGCCATTTTATTCTTGAATGTTTTTTGCGGATTTACTTTTCTGTATATTTTTATCAGATTTCGTTTCCTCCTGTTAAATTGTTTTGTAATGTGGGTGTTAGATATTGACTTTGCTCGTTGCCAAGGTGATAGTCACATTTAGACCTGAAATAAAGGAAAACAGATAACCGAGTACCAGTGAGTCATCGCTCCCACGTACACGTAGGAGGTCGCGAGGGGCCAATTCCTTGGCCGTGAAGCGATCGGGACATCTACGGGGATTCTGGGTGATGAAAAATGATATATGATCGCAATGTATTGCAATCTGTGACTAGATCTTGACAAAAAGTTCAGTTCAAAATTTGGCAACCATATATGAAGAAAAAACAACTTCACAGAAATTCAAATAACAAAAGAAATATTGAAAAGTGTGAAGTGCAACTTGTTCGGGTGTCAGATGTTAAACGTACTGGCGAGGGTAAATCTGATAAGACTTAATGTTTCCACTTTTTCATCAAACAAAAGCAAACGGTACTTGTGTATAGACGTATGGCTTTTGTCATTGTACTGTGAATTTACAATGTAGCTCCTCACAGAACTTTGAATCCGTGTCTGAACTAAGGATATACAGCACACATTACAAACGAAAAGAATACCCCACTGAGACACAGTATACCGACTCAAGCCGACCAGTCCTTGTTTTAGCCCTTTAATGCCGAGCGCCAGACAGGGCAACCACAAGTACCATCATTTAACGTCTCTTGGTATGACGCGGCCGGGGATCGAACCCCGGACCTTCCGCTCTCCGGGCGGACGCTCTACCACTAGACCACGGAGGCGGTCTACTACAAGGTGACAACTATCATGTATTTCAATACAAGAAGTCAAGAACATTGAAAAGAACATATATATACTCTTAAAAAAAAAA